GTTGGCACATGTTGTTTGACCAAATAAGAGTGAAGAAGTAAAACCCAACCTTTTAGTTAGCAATGTCAAATTGCTAAAAGGTTGTCTTCAATTTGATGTGCTCCAATGACTATAGAAGTTGTTGGTTCAAATTCAACTCCTCCATCCACAAATCCAAGACAGAGCACGTCATTATTCATCGCCACCATGGAATTCACACCCCAAATAGTCCAAGATGTAGTTGCATTTTTGTTTCCCAACACTAGTTCAATGGGTGGAACACCAGGGCCAACGCGAGTACTTCCCAAGCTTGTTCTATTATAGCACACTTTAAAAGGTGCCACGGGTTTCACCCTTGGAACCTTAGCAAGTGATTTAACAAATGCCTTTGTTAAAGCATTGTAAATCGAAGTCTCCAATTTCGTGTAAGGATCAACCGTACTAATTTTTGTTCCACCTTTGCCATCTTTGGTTATGTTCAACAATGTGGTGTTTATTGGCACAACATTACCATTTATTTTGATTGATGTCACTCCAATAAAATAATCCACCGAAGGCTCCCCTTCAAAATATGACCCCGATGTACTAACAGGGTTCTTGAGAAGTGGAGTGTAAACAAGTCTCTTTGAGACATCCATTCCAGGAAGAAATACATAAGGACTATCACCAAAGAAGATAACACCACGAGAGGTTGTGGATGAAGTCAAACATATAGCGAATTTTCGAGGTACACTAAAAGCATTAGCTAATTGAGTAGGAAATCCTACATAACCATTCCCAAGTCCAAGAATCCCTTTAACTCCCTTTGCTAGTCCTTCAAGAAGAGAATGAGGAGCACAATCAAAGACTACTCCATTTGTTGATAAGTATTTACGAGGATTCGAGCCATCGGTTGATTGAAGTGAAACGACATCTTGAGCAAGTTCACCACCCGTGCTAGTACGAATAAATGGATTATAAGGAATATGTGAACAAGTGTTATTGTTGCACCCTGGTGAAGGAGGACCTACACATGATTCAACACATGCACCCGATAAAGAACGTTTACAAGGGATAGAACCACAAGGGACAGGTTTATAAGATGAACTAACATAACCTTTTTCACAATCAACCCATAAAAATCGTTGACCAAGATCGATCGTAAGTTTGACTGGGACTAGGGGTGTTCTTTGGTTAATGGTTGTGACAAATTGTTTAGTGGATGCATCTTTCGTTACTGGAAGAAGAAAGGCTCGAGGTTTCGAAGGTGTTTTCGCAAAGGAGAGGGAAAATAAAAAGATCAAAGAAAGAAAAAAGAATAGAGAATTTATTTTGGTAACCATTGTTACGTTATTGATAGAGTGAGTTGAATTTAGAGATGTAGCATCTTGATTTATAGTGATGTAAAGCTTATTTAATATGATTATTGATGATTTATGACATGACGTTATTTTATTAGCCAAAGGACAAAACGAAAGTTGAAAGAAAGCATAAATCTTTATAATATATTGTTCATTTTGATTAAAGTATATACAAGTTGCCATGTAAGAATTCAAGGATCTATGAACATTGACTATAGATACACATAATTAATAGATATTGCCTGCCAGTTAATGATTTCGTCCAGATGAAGAAAGAAAAGGAATGGTGGAAGCATTATCCTATTATTATTATTATGTCAAAAACAATTGGTGAAGAACCGCAGTTGATGGAGTTATATATTCATAATAATTAGTATATGGTATACAATTGTTTTTTAAATTTCTCCTTAGGTTATTTATTAGTCAATATAAAGAGACATAAAATTTAGGGGCGAACCCACGTGGGTTTCTGGGTTCATCCGAACCTCCTTCGTAAAAATTACATTGTATATATAAAGTAACTCTGTATTTATGTAGATATATTGATTCTGAACTTTCTCATAAACAAGAAGCAATCTATAGCATAGTGGTATACTCCTTTAAAGTTGACCCTCATGTCCATGGTTTGAATCCCATTGTGAGCATTTCTTCATTTAGCTTTAGTTAAAAAATCTCTTGTAACGAAACTAACTTTTTGTACCTATAAACAATATATTACTACTACCTTGGAATTGAGTCTTGTTGTCTTTTTCACACGTTTATACTTTTATTTTTCGAACCCCCTGAATAAAAATCCTAGATCCACCCCTAATAGAATTGGCTCTATGTTAGGTGATGAATCACCCTGCATTTTATGAAGCTCTATAAGTCGCATCTAACCATGTGTTTTGTGATGATGAAACGACCTAGCAAAAATTAAAGATTCAAGTCATTGATGAACTCTTAATATTATTCTCTTAGACATTTTAATTCAACTTTATATCTATTAGATTCCCGTAAAATAAAACTCTGACGAATTCTCCATATTCCAAAAGAATTTGTTCTGTTTAAGCACAAACATTAAATGATAGCAGATTCAGATTCATATTATATAAATTTTGGTCAATATTTTGAATAATATTTTTATCTTATTAATATATATATATGAGAAGAACAAAATTTATAATATTTTTTATGTAACTTTTTTATATTTAAATTTAACATTTAAAATATTAAATTAAATTAATTTAATTTAGCTTCAAAATTTCTCTAACTTGACTTCGGAAAGCAAAAATATCACATAAATTACAGAGGGAGTGTGAAATATGAGCAACCAAGACGTTGTGCAGCAAAATACTTACCTTCATTTAGTATTTGGTAGTTTGGTACCAAATTGAATAGTTTAATTTCAAGTGTCGTCACATATTAAATTGAGAATTAATACATTATAACTAAGGATAGGTAATTAATCAATCACGTGCATTTTCTAGTTTAGTGCATTTATTCCCTCCTTTTTATTTTATTTGATCTTTATATTAAAAAAATATTTTTTTTCCTTTTATTTGTTCATTATAGCAAATCAAGAAAATATTAATCCCTATTTTTTGCCTCATAGCTATTCTTAATATATATAAATAACTATATTTAAAGTAACATTAATAAAATTAATTTCGTAAAATACACTCCTAATAAATGTTGTTTTTATAAATTGTGTTAGATCAACATGAGTCAAACACAATAAAATAAGTACTCCCTACCAGTTTCTATAATATACTTTCACTTTAATAAGTCTAAAAATGAATGATACATTCTTATTTAATTAATATTTAATGACACTATTAATATTTTATCTATATTGATCACACGTATTTGACAAAAAATTCACAACAGAGTACTCTTTTTAAGAGTAGTTTTGAAACATTGCAAAAATATTTCCATATTTTTTAAACTTCGTGGTCAATCAAACTAAATAAGTTGAAATAAAGAGAGTATATTGTATGGTCCTTTCCGTATTGTATATACGAATAATTAATTTTAGGATGAACTTCTCTCATATTTAATTGAGATAAATTTGTAGAATAATTTATCCAAAATAAATATTTCAAGTTAATAGTGTTGATTTTGTTCTATATTAAAAGTGAAAATAATAATATTAAAATAATTAATCTCAAAATAAGAAAATAAGTAATTCACGAATAACTTATTCCTAATTAAGCCACCCAGACACATATTACATGGCAAACGCCAGACAATGCTATGTGAGATCTTTTCATGCTTGGCCATTTTGAGCCACTTACAGAAAATGGGCTGAAGGTCCCATTTCTTTTCCTAATATATTTCTCATATTCCAAATCTTAATGTGAAAATAGAGGAAGAATGACCTAGTTTGAAGTAATACAAAGTTAAAAAATAAAAAAGATTTTTTTAGTTTTGTAATTTTAAATTAAAGGTAAAAAATAATAATTCTAAATTAAAGGTATATTAAATATATTAAAATGTCTTTTTGATCTTGTAACATTGCACATGTCACGTGAAAAATTAAAATGAAAATATTATTTAAAAAAATAATTCTTTTTGAACAGACTAAAAAGAAAAATATATTATTATTTTTAAAAGGGAGGAAGTATAAGGTTTGAGCCGTAATAAAATAAGTACGATGAATATATAATTATTAAATTTATCAAATTAAATCAATACTTCACTTTTGATTTATTCTTTTAGAGTGTAACCAATTAAATTTGTATATGGATTTATCTAAATTTAATTTAATAACATGAAGTTGGATAATGATATAAGGACAAAGATGTTAAATTTACGGTTGAAAATTGAGATAAGAAGTAATTATGAGGAATCTAGAACACGCGTATATAATCGGTTTACTACTCCACTTGCCATGTCCATTCTACTTTATTGTTTTGCACGCATAAAACGTTAACTAAAAGGTTTGATTAAATTATTTTAATTTATTATTATGTTTACCACAACTAAATTTATTGAGTAATTGTAAATTTTAAAACTTATAATTAGTTTTATTTTGATTTTTTAAAATAATAAGTATTTAAAAAAAGTTAAAATTGATCTTTTGGAATATCATAGATTTTTCTAGTAAAATTTTTAAAATAGTCTAGTGATATCTAAAATAACTCTAAAGAGAAAACCTAAATATTCTAAGGGAGAAGATAAAGTTAGTAGAATTTTCTTGTAAATATATCTAAAAGCATAGCTAGAACTATTTATACACAAGTATAAATAAGGGATGATGTTGTAAATTTATATTTAAACCGAAGTCAAATCAAAATCAATCCAATTTAAAAAAACATTCTTTCATAACAAAATACAATCTTTTGATCCTTATTAACGATGCTGGAATAATTGAAGATTTTCCAAGTTATAGATAGGAGAGAGACAGTAAGAAATGAGGAGCCATTGTAGAGCTTCATATTAGAGTCCGATTAAATCTAAATTTGAGTAAAAAAATTCTATATTGGAGGATAAAATGCTTCTTAACAAAGGTGATTTCATACATAAAGGGACTTGAACCCGAAACTTCTAATTAAAGATGAAGAAGTACTTACCACTTCATCATCACCGCTGTTGTTCACAATTGTTGGTTCATTATTGTTTTCAAACAAAGGTGGGGTGATGAGTCATATTGTCCATTAGTCTATAGTAACATTTTTGAAAAAATAAAAAGAAAGAAGCCACAAATCAGTTGCTATAAATTTGCAACTCTGTAAGTATTGGTTTAATTGTGCCATTTGCTTTCTTTCCTTCTATAGCATAATGACATTCAAATTTCCTTTGTCTATGCTTCTCTTATTTCTTCTACTCAATATTTTTCTCTGCTCATCTGAAGTACTATACCTTCCCGTCACTAAAGATGCATCAACTCTACAATACATTACAGAAGTAAGTCAAAGAACTCCTTTAATTCCCATAAAACTTTTAGTCCATCTTGGTGGAAGAAGTTTATGGGTGGATTGTGACAAAGGTTTTAAAAGTTCAACTTACAAACCAGGTGTATGTAATTCTACACAATGCACTTATTCCAATCCTAATTACTGTGGTGACTGCATATTGAAACCAAAATTGCAGCCTGGATGCAACAACAATAGTTGTTACATTTGGGGTGAAAATCCCTTGATCGATTGGTTTGACGATAGCGCTGAAATTGCTGATGATGTATTGGTTATTGGTTCAACTCCTGGTGTTCGTGTAACTTGGCCGCGGTTTATTTTCGCTTGCTTTGTTAGTCCCAATATGGTGAGACTTCTCGCCAATGGAGTCACAGGTATTGAATTATACTACTAATCATTGTACTTGATTTCATTTATCAGTTCAATTTTTTGTTTATTATTTTGCCGAATCATTAAACTTATTAATTAGATTACAACATTTGACATTTCTTCTAATCATTGACCAAACTTATGTAACATTAGCGTTGCTAAGTTGAAAAAATGCATGATTGCACATATTTTGAAGACAAATAAATTTAATATTTTACATTAAAAATATTAAAATTAAAAAAAAATTCAATTTTAAAAAGTTAAAAAACTTATCTTCTTCCTCAATCATTTCTCCCTCCAAACCCAACCCCCAACTTTCTTCATCACCAACCCTCTTTTCTCTGCCCCCACGACACCCCACCCCACCCCGCACCCCAACTTTTTTCTTCACTAGCCCCCCAAGCAATTCCTTTTGTCTTGCACAAACAAATCACAAACAGTTTTATATAATGATCAAATTAAAAAAATGTCACGTTTTTTTATCCTCACACGTCATTAGGTGGGTGACGGGGGTTAATTTCAACTATAAACAAGTATAGTGATTAGTGGCCAAGAAGTCTCCTAGGAAGTTTTTTTTAACCACACAAGTGTTATGACATGTATAATTAAATTCTTAAATTTCAAAAGTCTTATATAATCATACAAAATACAAATATTATGAAATGCTTAAAAAAATAAACATTAAATGTCTTTATTTAAGAAAGAAAGAAAAACATTTGAAACTTATGAACTAAAATGAGTGAAAAATATTTATGCTACTATAAATTATTTCATCAAGATGAAATAGATATTTTAAAGTTAAATTATTGCTCAACATAGAAATGTGTCATTCTTTCGAAGACAGATTAAAAAAAAAGCTAGTCATATAAATTGAGACAGATAGAATAGTGCATCTTAAACTGTGTCAAATCAAAGAGCTACTAAATAAATTAGGATAGAGGAGTGATCGACCATTTTTGTGAAGATATATTTTGATTTTCAGGTGACAACGAGATCCATATATAACCTCTTCTTTAAAAGGACACTTTTTAATTATTCAAATTGTATTCTATCTTATCAGGAATTGCAGGTTTTGGACGTGAAAGTCCAATTTCCATTCCAAATCAACTTGCTTTAGATCCTAGATTCACCAAGAAATTTGGTATATGTTTGAGCTCATCTACAACATCTCGTGGAGTTATATTCATCGGTTCTGGTCCATATTATGTTTACAATCCTAAGAAGATCGATATCTCAAACAATATTCTCTACACCAAATTAATCGCAAATAAAAATGCATTTTTGGTAACTCAAGAGTACTATATCCAAGTTTCATCCATTAAAATTGCGGGACAAGATATTCCACTAAATAAAACATTGCTATCTATTAATAAAAAAGATATAGATGGTGGGACGAGAATCAGCACAGCGTCACCTTACACAATTTTGCACCCTAGCATTTACGATGCTTTTAAAACTGCTTTCATCAACGCGCTTCCAAAGAATGTGGCACTTGTAGAGTCTCCTATGAAACAATTTGGACTTTGCTTTAGTTCGAAAAACATTAAAAGTACCAACGTTGGACCAGCTGTTCCTGTGATAGATATTGTGTTGCACAAGCCGAGTGCATTTTGGAGGATTTATGGAACAAATTCAGTGGTACAAGTTAGTAAGGATGTTATGTGTTTAGCATTTGTGAAACAAGATGAAGAAAGGGAACCATCAATTGTTATAGGAGGACATCAATTGGAAGAGAACCTATTGATATTTGACCTTCCTGGAAAGAAGATTGGTTTCAGCTCATCACTTAAACTTCAACAAACATCATGCTCTCAGTACGACAATACCATTCTAGGCTAAGCCCCTCTATTCTATATATGTAATTTTCTATTTCAATAATAAACTAGATGGTCGGTGCCCGTGCATTGCATAGGCGTATGACTTATATCGTTTTATATGTTATTCTTCATAATTTCCTATTTGGATAATAAATTAGATGTTCTAACTTCTATATACAATTGATAAACCAATGTACGAGATCTATCATTTTGCTGACTCAAAGAGTTGATAGTATAGTCATGCAGTCCATGGATCGATCCTCTAACCGGCTATATATTTAGATTACCATTAGAGCCGTCAATATGGGCTAGGCTCGTTGGACTGGCTTGACCTAGTCTGTGATTTGATAGGGCTGAACTACGAGTTTTGGAGCCCATTTAAGAAAAGAGTTTTTTAGCCCGGTCTGAATAAGTCTGTCGATTTGTGGAGCTTGAGAAATATGGATAGAGCCGGTCCATGGGCCAAATAAAAATTAATTAAAAAATAATAATAAGATAGAGTATTAAAAATAACAAGAGTCTAAACTCAAATCTGTTTAAAGTTTGAAATATTACAATTTAAAATCGGTCATAGTTTTTGTGTTTTATTACGATCATTGGAAAACAATTAGGTTATATTTCTATTTAGCTATTTATACTTTTACTTGAAATCAAACTTAATAAATATTATAAAGATAATTTTATTTGTGTATTTAATTAACAAATAGTAACACTAACACCATGTAATATTGTCTTGTCGATATTTATGATAATAAAAATTATAAAAAATATACTTTTAAGAAAAAAGGGTTGGCCCGGCAAAGCCCGTAGCCCACGCACTTGTGGGAGCCTATAGCCCACATACTTATGGGCTGAGCCGACAATTTTCTAGCCCACACAAAAAATGGGCTAGTCCGGCTTGGCCCGTCAAATTTCAAAGCCTGTATGGGTTAGCCCGGATGGGGTGGGCCAACCCATATTGACAGCTCTAATTACCATCATGACTACATCTAGAGCCGTCAAAATAGGTTTAGCCCATGGGATCGGTCCAATCCAACTCGTTATTGGGGTACGGTTGAGATAGATTTTTTCAAGCCCATTTAAAATTAGGGCTTATGATCCTTTAGCCCTTAAGGCTTGATCAGGGCCGAGTTGGGGTCGGCCCATGGGCCAAAACTATTTATTTAAGAGTAACTTACATAAATTTCTCTAGTGTATGAGCTGATTACTTAAAGGTACGTTATGTTGTAATATTACGAATCTTATCAGATTTTGGTATGTCCAAATACATGTATCTCGGGATACATGGACTCAAAATTAGGTTAATTTGTTCTAGATACACTCTATCTAGGATACATAGATAAATCTCGCACCCTCGCCACTCTCTAATCTCACTCGCGTATCTGGGGTGCATCACACCAGATACTGAGATACATATATCTAGTATCCAAGATACATGCTAATCACACTATACTTTTTGCCAGTGTTATTAAAACAACACCATTATTTGCCATATTTGATTTGAAAATCTTCTCATCTTCTTGATGTTATACAATTTTAAGTTTGAAAAGATAAAAAACAAAAAAAGAAGGGCTAGCCCACCCCAGCAAGAATAATCTAACTGATTTGTTCCACAGAACATATCATACTTTCCTTATCTCACGTTCTATCTCTAATTTTGTTATAATCTCAAATTCCATTAGCAATTATCCATTTACCTATTGGTAGCTAAGCAAGTAAGCAACAGAGAAATAAGCATAGTATTAAGAGGAGAAAACTTTGACCGTAAAAGTCCGCAATAACAACCAATATATCAAATTATACAACGTTCATAGTATGGTCATAACCCCCTAAAAAGGACTTTTAGTCATTTAATATCTGATTACAAAGCAATAATTCAAATAAGAAAAAAGAAATGAAGTAAGTAAAAAGCAAGAAAGTAAATCCTAGATAATTTGCTCTTTGTTATTGCTCTGTGCCTCAACATTCAACAATATTTATCTCCCTTTAAAAATGATTAAGGATGAGCATTTATAATATTTAATAAAAACATCTAGAAGGGTCCTCCAAGTCGATCTATTCAATCCATTTCTCCTTTAAACCATGTTACATATTTAATCATAATTTTTTTATTGATAAACAAGATCTGCACACATTTTGTTACCGCACACAGATACAAAATAGTCTTTTTTTGTTTTTATAATCTATTTTCACAAATCAGGTAGCTAGTCCCAGTACATCAATACTGGTGGTGGTTAATTAACTGCATTTACCTTTTGAGCCAACAGACTAAAAAAAACCTCCCACTATTCTTGTTTAAAAGGATATTTTGAAAAACTTAAAATTTAATTTGGTACATAGTTAACTCTACTACTTTCAATAACTATTAAGTACTATAAGTTTTGAACCCATAATAACACAAATGCGATGAAAATATAAACATTCAACGACCACCACATGATGGGCGGCCTCCTTCCTTAATCAAAGGTTTCGGTTCGAGCCCTGATATAAAAAAATCTTTACCCCACCACTTAGTCCCGAATGAAGCCCTATACAATGTAAATTCGAAATAGTCAGATTTCAACGTCGATAAAAAAATAAAATATTCAACGCATTAATTAAATTCACGTTTGAAAATTGAGATTAGATGTCAACATCAAGAATCTCAAATACGCGTATAAATCTGTCCATGTGCATGAGATAACTCCATGCTGACTAGATTTTATTCAAAGTCAAAGTTTTGACTTGTGATCATATACTCTCTCCTGTACATTTTACTTTCTTTTGCACACAGAAAAACATGAATTAAAAGCTACTCCCTGTCCCAATTTATGTGACCTACTTATAAAAAAAATAACATATTTTTATATTAAGTAATAATTTAACTATAAATGTCTATTTTACCCTTAATGAAATGATTTACAACCACACAAATTTTTATCATTCATTTTGGATCACAAATTTTAAAAGTCTTTCTTTCTTTCTTAAACTCCATGCCGAGCCAAACTACCTCACATAAAATGGGACGGAGAGGGAGTAATATAATTTAATTATTTTTATTTAATTTTATTTTGATCTATTACTACTTTTTTTAATCATAATAATTTCTCTTTATATTTATTGAGTAATTATCAAATTAAATTTTTTGTTATTAATTTTATTTTGATTTTCTTGATCGGACTATTTTTGATAAACACGGCATCTAATATGGACCAGAAAGAGTAAGAAATACGGAACCATTATACAGCTTCACTAAATGTCAACGGAAATAAACAAAAGAATCCATATAGACTATAGTTGTCTAAGCTTATTCTCTTACTATAAATTTGCAACTCCATACTTAGAATTTCTCATTGGTCTAATAATCCATTTACTTTTTTGTCTTTCTTTGTTTAGCATGGTGACATTCAAACTTCCTTTATCTATGCTTCTTTTATTCCTTCTACTCAATATTTTTCTATGCTCATCTGAAGTACTATACATTCCAGTCACTAAAGATGCATCAACCCTAGAATACATTATAGAAGTAGGTCAAAGAACTCCTTTAATCCCCATAAAACTCTTAATCAATCTTGGTGGTAGAAGCTTATGGGTGGATTGTGACAAAGGTTACAAAAGTTCAACTTACAAACCAGCAGTATGTAATTCCACACAATGCACTTTTGCCAAATCTCATGCCTGTGGAGATTGCATATTCAAACCTCAAGTGCAGCCTGGATGTAGCAACAATACTTGTTACATTTGGGGTGAAAATCCATTGATCAATTCGTTTCACGATCGCGCTGAAATTGCTGAGGATGTATTGGCTATTGGTTCTACTCCTGGTGTTCGTGTAACTTGGCCGCGGTTTATTTTCTCTTGCCTTCTTGATCAAGATATGATGAGACAATTCGCGAATGGAGTCACAGGTATTGAATCATATATTGTGTGAATGCCTTAGTTTAAAATTTAAAATTGTCACATATAATTGGTTAATTGTTAAATTAAATTTATATGTATGTATTTTTATCTTCTTCTTTTTTTTGTTATATTACACATTATTGAATGAACCTTAGAAGTACAAAAAGGAGGCTGTAGGAGCCATCACCTACCTTGCTCCATTCATAACATAGATGGTAGGATTTTAAATAAAGCTCACAAAAAATTTAAGGGATAGACCCAATAGACAATAGAAGTCACAATAGGACCCACCTAATTCCTTTTGACTTTAAAATATATAACTCAGAGTGTTACATAGTGAACAAATTAAAGAAAATGTCACATGCAAAGTTTTGTCATTTTAATAGAGTATTTATTTTTTCTTCTCCTCCTTAGGTAGGTAAGGGGTTTAATTGCACCATAAACAAGTGTAGAGCGTAAGAAGTCAACCATACAATTTTTAACCCAATTTGAGAAAGTACAATTTTAAATTATTGAATTGTATTATTTCTTAACAGGAGTTGCAGGTTTTGGACGTGAAAGTCCAGTTTCCATTCCCAATCAACTTGCTTTAGACTCTAGATTCACCAAGAAATTTGGTATATGTTTGAGCTCATCTACAAAATCTCGTGGGGTTATTTTCATCGGTTCTGGTCCATATTATGTTTACAATCCTAAGAAAATCGATATCTCCAACGATATTCTCTACACCAAATTAATCGCAAATACAAGGGGAGGATTTGTGACTTCTGAAGAGTATTATATCCAAGTTTCATCCATTCGAATCGCGGGGCAAGACGTTCCACTAAATAAAACATTGTTATCTATTAATAAGAAAAATGGAGTTGCTGGGACGAGAATAAGTACAGCTACACCTTTCACAATTTTACACACTACCATATATGATGCTTTTAAAACTGCTTTCATCAAGGCACTTCCAAAGAATGTGACAATTGTAGAGCCTCCTATGAAACAATTTGGACTTTGCTTTAGTTCGAAAAACATTAAAAGCACCAACGTTGGACCAGATGTTCCTGTGATAGATTTTGTGTTGCATAAGCCTAGTGCATTTTGGAGGATTTATGGGACAAATTCAGTGGTACAAGTTAATAAGGATGTGATGTGTTTAGCATTTGTGGGACAAGACCAAACATGGGAACCATCGATTGTGATTGGAGGACATCAAATGGAAGAGAACCTATTGATATTTGACCTTGTAGGAAGGAATATAGGTTTCAGCTCATCACTCAAGCTTCAACAAGCATCATGCTCTAAGTACGATAATACCATTCTAGGCTAATATAAGTACCATTCTAGTCAATTAATTATGTAATTTCCTATTTCAATAATAAACTATACGATCAGTGTACGTGCATTGCACAAGTGTATGATTTATATCCTTTTTTTTATTCTTTTGAATGTCTTCAAGAACATCAAAAAGGATCAATGTACTTGTTTCAATAAGAAGAGTAATACCTTTTTAATGGCGTAATTTGGGTGTATCACTAGACTTGTAGCCAAATGGTACATTGTAAAGGAAAGGATAAAATATCAAGAAACCTTCTCTCCAGTTTGTAGAAATGGTCAGAATTAGAATCATATTAGCCCTTGCATATATTTGAATGATTCAAATTTATAGGAAGTCAGTTATACACTTGTATCATGAAAACTAAGAAAAGTCTATTTTATCAAAAAGCTCTGTAAAAGCAGAGTACAAAAGCTTAACAACAAATTGTCATTGAAATAATTTGGTTAGCTGTCCTTAAACAAGTGGATTTTGAAATAAATTCCATCTATTGACATCTAAAGTGATAACAAGGTTGCTATATGCAAATTACACTCAATTAACAAAACACATTGAAATCGATTGTCTCACTAGACCATATCTTTGAAGTTAGTTTTCAAATTTGTAAAGAATTTATAGTCAAAATCAAATGTCTTAGCTCAAAGTTCACATAAACTGAGATGAAAAATAAAGTAAATTAATATCCGCAAGCCGTTGTGCAACAAATTACTTTCCTTCATTTAGTATTGGTACCAAATTAAATAACTGAATTGCAAGCGTCGTCACGAATTAAATATTTCACATGCGTACAACTACATAGTAATTTATTTTTGTTAGTGCCTTGCCTTCCCCAACCACTGCCCGATAGGATAACAATGGAATAATACCCAAGTCTAAACTTTCCCTTTCAATTTGAACCAAGAGAAGACAAACTAAATCAAGCAATACGAAGAATGGACATAAAGTTTATCAACCAAACAAAAATAAAAGACAAGAATAAACCAATCACACAAGACACAAAAATTTACATGAAAACCCTTCGATGTGAAGAGTAAAAGACCACAGGATCAAAAGCTCCACTATAATCACCAAGAGTTACAAGATTTTTCTCCAAAATTGACCACAAAACAAGTGTCACACAACGAGCAACAACGGAACAAGATTGCACCAAAACTAGAGAATTAAAAGAGAGAATTCACCCAAAGATGAACAACTGTTCACGCCCCAAAATCAGAAACTGCAGACAACCAAATCCGATCTCCACCGTTGAAATTCAAGAACCAAATGTTGAGAACTCTCAATTTAAATTTGAGCACGATCCAACGATTAACGAACCAAATGTTGAGAACTCTCTCTCTCTCTGTTTAAAACGACTCTCTCTTGACTTTTCTCTCTTTTGTGTCTGAAAATAAGACCTAAACAAGTCTTATATATGCAACATAATATTGGGCTTATGGGCTAAAGTGGACTGGTCCAAATAAGACTTCTATTTATCCATATGGGAAGGGAAAAAGATCTCAAACCCATCAATAAGGGATACAAACAAGTCAATGCAACACTAATGGGTGAAAATCATTTATACCCTTAAACTTTGCTTTTAAAAATAAACTCCCCCTCAACTATGACCAATAGTCACTATCCTTCTGGACAAGAGTTAATTCCAAAACTCCACAAAAAGAACATATTATTTCAACTAACAAGAACTCTCTTTTTACTAATATTTATGCACTCTCTATTTTCTTGTGCTCTCGACAAAGGAAGAACATCACTATTTATAGGGGAGGAATTCTTCCTTGCAATGAATGTGAAGATAATGAGGGTAGTAAACTAGTAGATAAATGAGCTAGAGGTTACATAAATTACAAGATATAATGGAGGAATAAAGAGTGCATTAAAATGAGGAGGCAACAAATGCCATCAATGGACAATTGTTGCACTATTCAACGAACAAAAGGAATTATGCTTTTGTAACACCTCGCAACTCAACTCGTAGAATCCAAATTGTTCGTCGTAAGTAAATAAGCTAGGACAGGGTGATGTCCTACTTGTTCTTATGTGTTAAGGTTCTTTTCTATGTGTGAGGAGTGTATTGGAAGTGGGTTAGGGTCATAAGAAACCTCTAGTACTTATAAGTTGAGTTCAAAGACTTCCTACCTGCTAAGTTTTTCACATTAGTTCATGCAATGGTCAACTTCAAACGACCATATCTCTTAGTATATAAGTTATTAGGTGTACCTTGACCTATCTAGTTACAGTCTTTTGAGTTTTCTTTCCAACACCACCAAATTTGCATCAAACGGAGTTTGGAGTACGTTATTGACAGTTTTACCAAAGACTACCACAAAAAGATTTTCAAAGTCCGATAACTACGAACCTTATTTACAGGTCGTAAATTAAAGTACAACCCATACTATAAACTCATAAAACCAGCTTCAGAGACGGAATTTTTTGGTCTGATTCTTTTGGATCCAATTACGGGTCGTAAAATCACCTACAGGCCATAAATTGAGCCTGTAAAGTGAAGTCCTGCAACTTGTTTTTGGACCTGATTTTCATGGATATGATTACGGGTCATAATTTGGGTTTGTAGAATGAATTTCAGAAACTCAAAATTTTAGTTTAACTTCCACGGATGGGATCTATGGCCTGTAGATCAAGCCATGTATCATAGATGGCCTCATGAAATGTTTTTGACAATTTTTTAATTGGAGTTATTTTGTTCTTTTTTCATTCTTCCTAAGTCTAAGCTGTGACGTTTTAACTTCTATTAAGGGAATATATTTCATCAAGTACTTAGTTTTCTTTGTTTTCTACGCTCTCAACTCTCCAAACTCATAAAAGCAAACCGCTAGAAAAGCAAAGCTAGAGTTTTAAGTTTTTCAAGTAAGTTCTTCTTTAGATTCTCAATCTCTCAGGTATATAAGGCTTCAATGAGAGTATTCATTCACTCGCATGTCTAAAGTATATTAATTCTCAAGAATTTCACAAAATTGGTAGAAGTAAAACTAATTTTATTATGAAATTATGATCTTTCTTCATTAGCTTACGTTTTCATTGTTTCACTTTGGCTTTAAAATCTTATTGTACTAACTTAACATGATTTTTATGGTCATTCAAACTCTTATGACTTGTATGCATGAAAACTAGCATGATATGAATTTCAATCTAAATTCAAGTTATTTTAGATATGACTTTCGAGCTTGTTTCACATATGATTCAAATAGATAGATGGTTTTCATACCAATGAGAATTATATGTATATATGTTATTTTCGGAGGACTATTTAGCACCGAGAGGACACATGTTTAGAAAATTCAAGTCTCATAAACTATGTGCCATCGTAGAATTATGTTTCACCGCTTTGACGGTTGATCATTTAGCCCTGATAGGTTCAGATTAGTGGATCCACATAGATATGATGATATGGTTCTATACTCTGGAAAGGTATAGGGCAGCCCTCCCGACTGGGTTAGTTGTTGAACATCATGAGCTCACATGGTGTATGTCGATTTTAAGAAACTCTCCAATTTATGCATCTTTCACGATATGATGTTACTTTATTTGATTCATTTTTAAGTATGTTATTTACATATATGATTATGAAAGGCTAATGAAATAGACTCATCTCTATATATGCTTTTGAAAGAGGATTTTGAATGGTATTTAGAGAGGAACCCAATTGTTTTCTCCTCAAGTTCTCTTACCAATTTACATGAATTTGAAAACCTTATTTCACTATCCTCGTTATGTTATTTTTACGATTATGCTAGTGCCCCTTTCTTACTGAGTACATTCCATATACTAATGCATACTTTTCTCTGTGATGCATCCTTTTATGATGTAGATTTCAGCGCCCATACTCAAACTCGTGGCTAGTGAGGTTGCAACAGTTCCAGCCAACGATTGGTAAATCCTCCTCATACAGGGAATTCCTTGGATTAGTTGTTAGTCAGATTTTAGTAGTTTCTTTGTTTATTTGGTTTGAGGTAACTGAGGTCCATGTTTCGGTAAACTTATTTCCTTACGTCTAAATGTTAGAGGCTTATTTCAGACAATAGTTGTTCAATCATCATAGATTTATTGATTTCATTATTAAAACTTATTAAGCATGTATTTCATTCCGCAATAATTTTATATGATATGCTTTGATATGATGTATGTCAAGGATTAACTTGGCGCCACTCATAATTTTAAATAACGTGTCTCGGTGGGATGCAGACTCGAATTGTGACATGCACAATTCATTGAAAAAATTGTAGCATAAGAACCAACTCCAAAATGGAGTAAAGCAGCCAATAAAAATATTCCAATAGAAGCCAATCAACAACAATTGAAAAGGCAGCAATTAATTAAAGTAAGGGAAGGCAGCACTTTAAACTCCAAAAAATAGCAAATTTATATTACTAAAGATTAATATTAAAATGCTGAAAGACCAACACATTGTTATAATACCTAACATATAACTCTGACTAATTTTCCGTACTCCAAAAGTATTTTCTTTATGATATAACGCAATTTGGGAACATCTATTTTTTGATATTTAAACTATGTACATTATGTTACAAATTCTTTTAAAATATAGTTTCTTAGCATATTGATTTTATAAGAATTAAAACTATTAATATTTTGATGTAATTGATTTGAGAAGAATTAAAATTATTAATATTTTGATGTAATTTTTGAATATTTAAATTTTAAATTATTGAGTTAACTTGGTTGAATTTAATTTAAAAAATTCATTAGCAACTCCCAAAAAAGAAAAAAAAAAGTGCTACTTGAATTAGATGAAGAGAGTGTGACGTTGTGCAACAAAATACTTAAGTATCATCACAAATTAATTAAGACTACCTTATAATTTTCTCTGAAATTAGTTGTAACTTTTTAAAATGTTGTATTTGTGCAATTTCTCCCAACTTAAATAGTCAACACAACTATAGCAAATTCTTCAATAAAATCACTTATGTTTATTTTTTATTAATTAAGTCACTCAAGTTAGATAACTTTATGATCTACAT